TATAGATATATGGTATTTAGTCCCCCTAACCCCAGCACTGTCAACTTAACGTCCATATAGATATATGGGATTTAGTCCCCCTAACCACATCACTGTCAACTTAATGTCCTTATAGATATATGGTATTTAGTCCCCCTAACCCCAGCACTGTCAACTTAACGTCCATATAGATATACGGTATTTAGTCCCTCTAACCACAGCACTGTCAACTTAACGTCCATATGGATATATGGTATTTAGTCCCTCTAACCACAGCACTGTCAACTTAATGTCCATATAGATATATGGTATTTAGTCCCCCTAACCACAGGACTGTCAACTTAACGTCCATATAGATATATGGTATTTAGTCCCCCTAACCACATCACTGTTTCTCTGGTTTTCTCTGTTATTGTCAGCAGTATCAACGTAACGTCTTTTTAGCTACAGTATCTTGTTTTCACAATTTGTTACTACATATGTATTTCTGGAACACGTGTGACTCGTATTTTATTTTATTTTTTTCAAAATAAAAAAAAGGTTTTAAAAAATCCAGCATCATGGTGATATGATACTCGAACCCGCTACTGAGCAGATCTCAACTGTTGATTACTACCCCGGGGAAACTGATACTTTTATTGCAACAGAATCATGCTTGTAGCTATAGTCTGGTAGTTATAGTCTGGTAGCTATAGTCTGGTAGTTATAGTCTGGTAGCTTTAGTCTGGTAGCTATAGTCTGATAGTTATAGTCTTGTAGCTATAGTCTGGTTATAGGCTGGTAGCTATAGTCTGGGTATTGTCTGGTAGCTATAGTCTGGTTTTAGTTTGGTAGTTATAGTCTGGTAGATATAGTCTGGTTATAGTCTTGTAGCTATAGTCTGGTTATAGTCTCGTAGCTATAGTCTGGTTATAGTCTGGTAGCTATAGTCTGGTTATAGTTTGGTAGTTATAGTCTGGTAGCTATAGGTGCTAGTTATAGTCCGGTAGCTATAGTCTGGTTATAGTCTGGTAGCTATAGTCTGGTTATAGTCTGTAGTTATAGTCTGGTAGCTATAGTCTGGTTATAGTCTGGTAGCTATTGTCTGGTTATAGTCTGGTAGTTATAGTCTGGTAGCTATAGCTGGTAGTTATAGTCCGGTGGTTATAGTCTGGTAGCTATAGTCTGGTTATAGTCTGTAGTTATAGTCTGTAGTTATAGTCTGGTTAAAGTCTGGTAGCTATAGTCTGTAGTAGCGAGTGTCTGGTTATAGTCTGGTTGTTATAGTCTGGTAGTTATAGTCTGTAGTTATAGTCTGGTAGTTATAGTCAGTAGTTATAATCTGGTAGTTATAGTCTGGTAGTTATAGTCTGTAGCAGCTATAGTCTGGTTATAGTCTGGTAGTTATAGTCTGGTAGCTTTAGTCTGGAGTTATAGTCTGTTAGCTATAGTCTGGTTATAGTCTGGTAGTTATAGTCTGGTAGCTATAGTCTGGTAGTTATAGTCTGGTAGCTATAGTCTGATAGTTATAGTCTTGTAGCTATAGTCTGGTAGCTATAGTCTGTATTATTTTATTTTCAAACGATGTGTTAACAAAGTGTTGCAGCCAAAATGACCACTCTATGTCCACAGACGAGATGACCACTCGATGTTCACAGACAAGATGACCACTCGATGTTCACAGACAAGATGACCACTCGATGTTCACAGACAAGATGACCACTTGATGTTCACAGCCAAGATGACCACTCGATGTTCACAGACATGGGAAAGAATAGGGTAATATTTTGGTTTCACTTTCGGCGATATCGTCACAACTTGTTTAAGCACTAAATGCCGAATACAGAACTATGTTGTTTGTACTTTGTTGTTTTTTGTAAATCGTCATACTGTACCTTGTTTATAAATAATTAGAAATAACCTGCATATAGTAGAGTTGTCCAGTCCCAGGCTTGTACACCTCCCTTTTCAGAGAATAACGCCCCCTTTTATACTTAATTCAGTAGAATTATTTTTTCATCTTTCTTTTTTTTTACCAAATTCAATCAAAACACCTTAATCAACGGCAGTTTCATAATGTTATTTTACTGTCAAATGGGAACACCGGAAGTACTAGGAGACGTTTTAAGATTTTGGCTCCAAGATCTCGTCAGTATTTTGAAAAACTAACAAGTATGCATACATCCGTGCTTTTATCAACTAATTACTTTTATCCTGTAAGATGGGCATATATCTTTAAACACCGGTACGGGTTCATCTGCCTTTTATGAGGATATGCTAAGTGTCTTGAAATAGTAGCATAGACGTGTGTGCACAGGAGAGCAAACTATTGATTGTCTTACTCTGAAATGTGTGCGTATGCGAAATAAAAATCAAGTAATGACTTTTTTGGGGAAAACCTGTCAATAAGAATCCAGGGCTGGTAAGGAGGAGATAGTTGCAGACCATCACAGACGGAAATGAGTAAACGAGTGTCTGAAGCAGAACTCTATATTATAGCATGTAAACATGTGTCTTCCTTGGCCTTAAATCTTTACTAGATATCGCAGATCGTTTACAACGCTAACTCGTACGATGGTTTATGTAATACTTTTATTATAAAATGTACAAAAATGTCAGCGCGCCTGCGCACTGACAATGGATATTTACAAACATTGTTATATATCATTATAGGCATATATAAGAAAAACACAATTTCACTCGCTTTCACACAGAATATTTATTTTCATGTGAATTGTTTTACAACCAATTAATTCATATTTCAAATTGACATTCAATAATAAAAACATAATTAAATACATGCATTATATATTGTTAAACAATATATTATTGGATTGTACGCTCACTCTTTGATTGCAGCACTAATGTACGTTCATAACAAATTTGTCTTTTCTTTTTAGCAAATAATTGCTGTGACAAATAATAAATAATTCTGTGAACGATTTCACCCTTCGAAGTAGAATTACTTCAATATCTCATGAAAACAAGACACTAATGAAACAATGTCAAATCAGTCACGACAAGAACATAGGATCAATTTTACTTTTCCACATTTTTTGTTGTGCTAATTATGAAAACAAGACACAATGACAAACTTTCCTTGTATTATCTACTTGCGATATAGACTCTTCTTTACCCGACTGCCGCCAATTATGTTATATCACTGTTTGACGTGCCGTGTCTTACATTGTGTAACGTGTCGTGTCTTACACTGTTTAACGCACCGTGTCTTACACTGTGTAACGTGTCGTGTCTCACACTGTTCGACGTGTCGTGTCTCACACTGTTCGACGTGTCGTGTCTGTGTGTCGTGTCACACACTGTTTAACGTATCGTGTCTCACACTATTTAACGTATCGTGTCTCACACTGTTTAACATGTCCTATCTCATACTGGTTAACGTGTCGTGTCTTACACTGTTTAACGCGCCGTGTCTTACACTGTGTAACGTGTCGTTTCTCACACTGTTCGATGTGTCGTGTCTTACACTGTGTAACGTGTCGTGTCTGTGTGTCGTGTCTTACACTGTGTAACGTGTCGTGTCTGTGTGTCGTGTCTCACACTGTTTAACATGTCGTATCTCATACTGGTTAACGTGTCGTGTCTTACACTGTTTAACGCGCCGTGTCTTACACTGTGTAACGTGTCGTGTCTTACACTGTGTAACGTGTCGTGTCTGTGTGTCGTGTCTTACACTGTTTAACGCGCCGTGTCTTACACTGTGTAACGTGGCGTGTCTGTGTGTCGTGTCTTACCCTGTGTAACGTGTCGTGTCTCACACTGTTCGACGTGTCGTGTCTGTGTGTCGTGTCTTACACTGTGTAACGTGTCGTGTCTCACACTGCTCGACGTGTCGTGTCTGTGTGTCGTGTCACATACTGTTTAACGTGTCGTGTCTTACACTGTTAAACGTTTCTTGTCTCACACTGTTTAACGTGTCTTGTCTAACACTGTGTAACGTGTCGTGTCTCACACTGTGTAACGTGTCGTGTCTCACACTGTTTAACGTGTCTTGTCTAACACTGTGTAACGTGTCGTGTCTCACACTGTTTAACGTGTCGTTTTTCACACTGTTAAACGACTCGTGTCTCACAGTGTTTAACATGTCGTGTTTCACACTGTTTAACGTGTCGTGTCTCATACTGTGTAACGTGTCGTGTCTTACACTGTTTAACGTGTCGTGTCTAACACTGTGTAACGTGTCGTGTCTCATACTGTGTAACGTGTCGTGTCTCACACTGTTTAACGTGTCGCTTTTCACGATCGAGACCAAGTTGTTAAAGCACGAAAAACTGATTTTTGTCCGAAAATAACTTTATAATAAATAAATAATTAAACAATAACTACGCTTATCTTTAAACGATTTGAAAATTGTAATTAAAAAAATATGTGCAAAAATCATTATTTCATCCACATTTTTGTCCTATCAATATAAGTTAACTACTCCCTTTAAGATAATCATGCTCAAGAAACCTAGCTGGCTTAAACGTTTGTAACGTAAAAGGTAATATCACTCTTATTCGAAGGATGAAGGCTGCATTAATGAATCATTATAGAGCGTGTACAACATTGGAATGTTTTCTTGTTCTCTTCACACAACCATGGTTGCAAAATCAAATTTCATAAAATAATTTTATATAATAAAAAAGACATGTTGATTTATATTAGGTTATCATAAAAAAATATGTGAGAAGAACCAACTACATTCGGGCAGATACACCTTAAACACTGGTCAAAAACTTCATCAACAATTAAGGATTAACTTGAATATATTTTTCATGTTATGGAGAAATAACACACAAAAAACGGAGTGTACTCAAAATAAACCACGAAGCGGTTTATGTTGAGAGTACACTCCGGTTTTTTTATGTTATAGCTCCATAACATGAAAAATATATTCAAGTTAATCCTTATAATTTAATCTACTATACACAATCCCTTTGGAAATCCACTTTTATTGATGGACTCTTTTCTCTTAGAAATTATTGCGCCGCTGTATCAACCAATCAAAAGCGACGTCGTTACAAATGGCGAAGTCATTTTTTTACGTTATGGGATGATAACATAAATTTTTAAGCCAATGGAAATGCCTGTTACAAGCAAGATTAAATTATATGGTAATATTACCAAACAATGTTGGAAGTGCAGCAGATTTTACTTTAATGTATATATATTATTATATTAGTTTTAACGTTCAGCGTAAGCATATAATGGTCTGATAGTTCACGATCTATTTAGTGTGTGTAGTGCTTAGCAATACCACTCTCTCTTTTCTTAGATAAAATTCACCCTCTTTTTTCCTTCTTTCGCTCCTTTTTCCCCATTTTCTCTTTTTCTGAATATAATTTCTATCTTCTAATTCATTCTCACACCCTTGGTTTATATGTGCAATTAAGTTTTTTTTAAATGTGTAATGTATAATAACTTAGGTGTGTGAGACCAAGTCATTAATATTCCTTTCCTACGAGTTCCTGTACCCTGACGTTATAAATATACACCTTATATTGTTCAGCTCACTCATAATAACATGAATGTATGACCAAACAGGTGTCAGCAACATTTGTCTCTAAGGCATAACATTTCAAAGCCATCATATGCTAACAATATCGAAAGGAAATATTTAATATACGAGAAATAACGTCTGTTGCAGATCACCACGACATGATATAACGTCTGTTGCAGATCACCACGACATGATATAACGTCTGAGGAAGATCACCACGACATGATATAACGTCAGAGGGAGATGAAGTTGAAATTAAGTGTGGGACATATTCGTGGATACATTGATACTGGGAATGCATCTTTTATCCCTTTACTTTTCAGGGAATTCTGCAAATATTGGTACAATCTATCAGATGTACATAATATAACAACCATCACATCTAATTAACAAAGGACTTGATATAGACCTTCTAAAGCTTTCTCTTTTTATTTTACAACAATTTATGAAACGTTATACTGTTGACCCGTGTTAGCTTTGATATAAATGGGTCTCTTAATGTATTGTTTTAGTTCTACAGCTCTACCCTTGGAACGAAGCTCCAATACCTTGAGTACTCAGTTGTCCTTGTTACATTTTCTAAATCAACATATAGAATTATAACAGAGAAATTTCAGCTGTGTGAGATGTATACCCAATAAGGATATTTTGTTATACGCAAAAACGATGAAGATAAGGTGATAGATTTATGTAAGTGTCTAAGACACTAGTTTCTATTTCTTATTTTGTGCCATATTGTCTTGTTATAGATATAAAAAAAAATCTAACGACGGACTAGTTTTTTAGTCGGTCGTTAAATCTTATCTTTTCTATATTGACATGGACACACATATATATATATATATATATTATTGAAATACTTGAAAAAAAAGTTTAACCTAAACGATTTAACACTTTGTTACTAAAATCTAACTTGCTTCATNAAAAAAAAAAAAAAAAAAAAAAAAAAATGATAAGCAGATACATACCAATCGATCAAATTGAAGTATATCAAGTGTCACACACATTCATTCAACCATTACTTTTGTATCGTCGTTGTACCATCATTACCATATCTGTGGTATGATTTATATTGAAAATCTACAAATCTACAAATACACTAGTAGGATACAAAGAAAAAAAATCATTGGTTTTATACTGGAATCCATTTTTTAACTGTAGCATTTAAGCGTTTTTGACAGATATTTTATCGATGGAAAGCACTTACAGTCATTTTCGTATACAAAGGTCGTGAAACCGACCCAATCAAAGGTTTTCAATGAGGACGTTTAATAATTTAGTACATGTAAGACATACCAGACAGGACAACTCACGAATACACAACTGTAACCTGGGGTTTCTTTCTTTCTTCCTCTTGTTCTGATATCAGCAAATCTAGCTTTTGGTTACTATAGAGGAGATACGTTTAAACAACAATATGTATACCATAACAAATAGGTCATGCATTAACCTATCCGTAATGTGTTATTGTAAATGATAGTATTCAATTACTTACGATAAATCACATCCTTTCATCGATTTGGTCTTTATCTAAATATTTTGTAGAAGAGAGTTTATAAGGTTTCTGACAGAAAAGTGTTTTTTTTTATAGTATGACAGTGGAAAGTATGTATGGCACATTGTCTCAAATCCTCACACTTGTTCTACTTTCTACCGTAATGAAACCCTGTCGATATTGTAACAAAACCACCTTCGGTTGAGACGACCTGCATCCCCTCTTTGACAAATCCGTAGACTTGTAAGAGACATCACCTTTTACTCATTCAGAGGTTGCATTTACATATGCCAGTATACAAACCAATCCCAATGGAGGACGTACTGTCAGCTAAGACCTCTATTTGATAGAATCTATTCCCATTTTCCTTTAATTTCTTAGCTGATATCCTTCTTCTGCGGATCGGTACTAGGCTTTGTACGGCCCGCCAGCCTGGGAATGATCGTGCACGTGGAGCACGCCCGGTCTTGGAGGAGACCTGGTCAGGACTTATCTTGCAGAGGTCTTTGTGATTGTCAAGACGAGGTAAAACGTAAAATATTTGTCGATTTCGAAATTAATTTCATAAAACCACGCTTAATACTGTCACTAGTACGGCTGTTAATATACTTATTGGATTCAAATTTACTAGAGTAGCACTGTTATGATCTAATATTTTACCATCACGTTTTTGGTCATGACTGTCATCATCATCCTCTATTGTTATCCACTGTTGATCTTTGTTGTTCTTTTCAGTATGAACACTTTGATCTTGACTATACGGGTTCTTAACATCAGTTATCTTCCCCTGCTGTGGACACCCTAACCACCAGGTGGCGATTGGTCGTGGATATGTGGCGTCGACCTAGAAATCATAAACATGATAAACATGAAATAACCTGGAAATGGCATGTCATCTTGAAGTAGTAGTAGACCAGGCGGCTACAAATAAGAGCACGAAGGAACAGTAGAGAAGCACTTTCCTAAAGCCTATTCATAGTATCCCGAAACTCTATATAGACATCATGGTGATGTAAATAAAAATATCATACGGTTTTCCACACATGTAAGTTATGCATTCTGATTGTCAAGAATGCATTACGTTTAAACAAATTCAACTTCCCTTTTTAAGTGCTATGTTAGTGAACTGAATCAGACCTCTCTTTCTGAGTCAAAAGGTTACTAGCATTCGAACCGCAAGGCAACAATCTGGTTTCTTTGCTGGTATAATAAGAATATCCGTTCTTCATTTCCTTAACTTTATCATTAAACAGAATCACATGTGAATAGTGAATATCTGTGGTACGATTTCTGTTATCTATAATTTATTCCTATACAACGACAGATTTGATTTAAACTGAAAGTGCGATAACTCACTCGGGTTATCTATGGACTTCGATTATCCTTTGATGTGAAGCAGATTGGATAGCCAGCGCTTCCTATGACAGGCGAACGCTTATGAGGTGTTCAGGCGACTTTATGATGTCACCCTAATACATGAACCTGTCCCTATATAGTCATCTCTAGCTACCTATGAACCTGTCCCTGTATCGTCATCTCTAGCTACCTATGAACCTGTCCCTATATAGTCATATCTAGCTACCTATGAACCTGTCCCTATATAGTCATCTCTAGCTACCTATGAACCTGTCCCTGTATAGTCATATCTAGCTACCTATGAACCTGTCCCTATATAGTCATATCTAGCTACCTATGAACCTGTCCCTATATAGTCTTCTCTAGCTACCTATGAACCTGTCCCTGTATCGTCATCTCTACCTACCTATGAACCTGTCCCTGTATCGTCATATCTAGCTACCTATGAACCTGTACATGTATGGTCATCTCTAGCTACCTATGAACCTGTCCCTGTATAGGCATCTCTAGCTACCTATGAACCTGTCCCTGTATAGTCATATCTAGCTACCTATGAACCTGTCCCTGTATCGTCATCTCTACCTACCTATGAACCTGTCCCTGTATCGTCATATCTAGCTACCTATGAACCTGTCCCTGTATCGTCGTCTCTAGCTACCTATGAACCTGTCCCTATATAGTCATACCTAGCTACCTATGAACCTGTCCCTATATAGTCATACCTAGCTACCTATGAACCTGTCCCTATATAGTCATCTCTAGCTACCTATGATCCTGTCCCTGTATAGTCATCTCTAGCTACCTATGGACCTGTCCCTGTATAGTCATCTCTAGCTACCTATGAACATGTCCCTGTATAGTCATCTCTAGCTACCTATGAACCTGGCCCTGTATTGTCATCTCTAGCTACCTATGAACCTGTCCCTGTATAGTCATATCTAGCTACCTATGAACCTGTCCCTATATAGTCTTCTCTAGCTACCTATGAACCTGTCCCTGTATCGTCATCTCTAGCTACCTATGACCCTGTCCCTATATAGTCATCTCTAGCTACCTATGATCCTGTCCCTGTATAGTCATCTCTAGCTACCTATGAACCTGTCCCTGTATTGTCATCTCTAGCTACCTATGAACCTGTACCTGTATCGTCATCTCTAGCTACCTATGAACCTGTCCCTGTGTAGTCATCTCTAGCTACCTATGAACCTGTCCCTGTATAGTCATCTCTCGCTACCTATTTTATTAGTTTATTTTATGTTCCTTTTTTTCCTGCGTTGTCTGGCTATACTGTGAAATTCGTCTTATATTTGGGAAACAGTTCACTCCTTTTTTAATAAACACATTTTAGTGATCTGATTATGTTGTATACTGTCTTTTGTATTATAGTGTATTACATAAATGAGTTGTTAACGTATACTTTTTCTAATTATTACTTTTAATTACTTCGCCTACTTACTTTGGAGAGTTCATGTTATCAGCAAATACAGTTTGATATTATTTAAGTAACAACTTACCGAAAACAATTGGTCGTTGTATCTGTAGTAATTTTTGCCGGTGAAGAAATAGGTTTTGCCATTTTCCCATTTAAACGCTCCCTGTATTGTACTCGGAAGACCTCTCCATTTTACAATAGCACGAGGGTATCCATAATCAATCTTTCGTCCAGAATATCTCCAATACTGATCTCCTAAAAAAAAAAGCAGCATGAAACAGACAAATTATATAATATTCCAAATCTGACGAATTCCGGTATTTTAAATATGCATTGATAAGTGTGATGCAACAAAATATATGTCACACAAGCAGTATTTTATACTATGAAGAAATTTGATGGCATTTGATATCCTTCAAAACCAACCTAGACGGCTGAAAGTTAACTAGCAGGACAAGGTTTCTTTCAAGAGAAATGTCTATGTTCAAGGGTTCTCAGACTCTACCTTGCTTCACCGTATGCATTCTTCATTGACGATACTTATTGAAAGCTTGGAATTTTCTGAGGTTTTTTTCTCTCCAGAAATATCCTTAAAGTTTGTATGATTTAGAAAGTGAAATCCTGCAGGTGGCATAGGACTAGTAGTTAGCGCCTGATCAGGCAGCTCCTGCGAATTCCTCAATATTATATTGATTAATATATATGCTACTGTTGACTGTATAAAATTGTATATCTATGTACTGTAAAGCACTTTAGAGTGGCTTATGTTAGCTAGATAGGGCGCTATAGCAAATGTTGTATATTTATATTTATTAAAACAATTGAAGAAGCCAATCTTTATATAACATAACTGTTAAACATATTTAGTGGAATTCTCATTCAACTAATCTGAAGCATTTAACCGAATATATTTGTTTTTACGAACAGTGTTATTCTTTTGTGACAAAATTACATAATATCATTCCGGATTTTATAATTACAGAACGAAACTGCTCATATAAACAATGATACACATTATACAGTGAATACACATGTTATAACACTAATGAAAAACGAAAAGAATACGCACAAGTTTACCTTTGTTATAGTATTATGTTATACACTTAGTCGTCACGCAAACACAAACATAGGGTCGATTTTTCAGTACATGTACATTCTGAATGGTATGTTTAAAGAAGAAAACAAATATGAATAAACTTTATGTGAAAGTGGTTTTCCTTTTTCACCAAAAACATATTACTTATCAATTACATTAAATGTAGGTATGCACCCTACTGTGGGGTTTGTTTTGAAATGAAATAATCTATGTAGTTGTGCTACGATGTCGGTAAGATCACAGCCTCATTACAAACTTCACCTGGGCATTCAAAAAGGAGCAGTAATTATGTTTTCTGTGAAAGTACTTGAGCCCTGGTAAACAGTTTTATAAATCATGTCATATACAGGTAAGTTTTCTTTGGCAAGGTATCATTGCATTGCTACACGCTTTAAGCTGACATGTATTATCCAGTATACTTATTATCGTCTATCTTACAGGACGGGGAAGTGGGTGCCCGATCGATGGGGTTGTTAAACATTGATTACAGCTGCTGAGTCCGAACATATCACTTGTGTGCGAGACTATTATTTATTAATACGACATTTCGAACAATGTAGAATACTCTCTATGTTATTTTTGGAGCTTCCAAAATGTCCATTATGAACACGATTAACGAGTAAAAACACTGGTCATTGAGCTTGTTATCAATGTTTAAATACCCACAATAGAACTAGTTATTAGATCAGCCAAATATATCAGCTGAAGTTTATACAGTATACAATTTTTGCGTCAATTATATGTCGGCGTTTTTTGAGGGAAGATAAATTTATTTCATTGCATAGCAAATACAACCAGAATTTGGAGCAGACATTCCGAATGACAAAGGTACCTTTGAAAAAATATGTCTTGCCATTACCGCCCCAAACCATCGCCGCATCAAGATTAATCGGAACACCTCTGAACCCAAACACTATTCTCTTAGGTCCATAGATGAGTCTTCTATTCTCGAATTTCCAGTAGTATTTCCCCTGCAACAAATAAACAAAATGTTATTATGTCACATAAAGGACGATACTTGGGCACATCGCGATTTAGAAAGAGCCGCTTAAAAAGGTACAAGGTGAATAAAACCAAGTAAACAAGACAACAACAGCAGGTGAACCGGACAACAAAACCAGGTGAACCGGACAACAAAGCCAGGTGAACAGGACAAAAAAATCAGGTGAACAGGACAACAAAATCAGGTGAACAGGACAACAAACCAAGGTGAACAGGACAAGTGACAAAAAAATTACAAAGCACACTAATGGGCATACATAAAATCATCGATATTCATAACGCAGAAGGAAATAGACTTTTTACAAATGTGTTCATAATGGCGACCAGCACATTTATCCAACCTGCGTCTCTTGAAACTGTTATACGTTTAAGATAGTTCATGTCAAGTACCTTGAAAACATATGTGTATCCATTTTCCCATGTTAAAGCTGCATCGACAGGACCGGTGACGCCTTTCCAGTCGGTTGAGATTTTGCGGGGGTATCCTGTTTCTATTCCGAGCTTGGTCAGCCGGTAGTGATATATTCCTAAAAAGACCAACATTAGTTACCAGAAATGATTGTAGCAACGAAAACATATCAAACAAGCCTTTTCTCCTGTTTTAATCTGTGAAGTGTATGTGCTTTTTGGAGAGGCCAATACCAGTCCGTGGAGTATTTCCCGAGTACAATACCTTTACTAAACTGGACAAAAGAATGTGATCTTCTTTTGTTATATGACTAACACTCGATGACAAATGATGCGAGAAAAAGTGTCAAATATAATGATATCTTATTGTACTACATTGTATATATACTGATATGAGGTCATCTCACATATCTTATTGTACTACATTGTATATATACTGATATGAGGTCATCTCACATAGAGTTATCTTACAAGGAATGTATAGTTTGTAGTATACCTTTAAAAACGTAAGTTGACCCGTCCTTTGTGCGTGTGATAGCGTCTATTGTAGGATTTCTGCAGATCTCGGGAATGTTAAACACAGGTGGTCGAGTGGTAACACGGGGCTTAGGACGAGTGGTAGGCACAGGTGTAAATGGCCGACGTGTCGGAGGTGGTCTAAAGGTTTGCTGTGTAGGGTTGGGTCGGCTATTTGGAGTACCTGTAAATAAAATAAAAAAGGTAAAGATAAATAAAAACGAGGTTTCATTATTAAATTGTCCGTGTATTTACATTATTTAGAAAACTTTTCTAGTATAATATTCGGAGTAAGATTCATCAGTTTGGTAGTGATTATAAAGGCTAACTTTCGTTTGAAAAACCAACAGAAATCGAAAACTTATTTTGCGAGCCTTCGAAAACGTCTTTTTCTTTATAGCATGTGTTTAATAGGTATATTGGATCTTCTTTCTTCTAGCTGACGACGTACACAATGGTTTTGAGAATATCCTTGTGTTTTACGCTGTGCACAGAAGTGTTATCATCTTATGACGTCGTCCGCATTGGTGGATGTTTCCCGCACAAAACGATGTACCACAAGGGTCCTTTATGCCCGAAAGGTAATACCTGTGTTTTGAAAATTAAACGCTTAGGTCGATTTATGAAATCAAACGGAACCTTTGTGCGTAGGATAGTTAGATTTTAGCAATGACCCCGGTATATCAGTATTCTAAATACAGTGTAACACAGATGTAGAGGGACTCTGAAGCACTCTATTGAAACCTGTGCAGAGATCAATTTCTGTTGCAGCCTCTAATTTGTGGAGTACTTCATGAAAACAAATTTTAAGAATATGAATCACCGCGTATAGGACTATTTCGTTTTATGTTCTAGTCTGAAGAATAGAACATTCAAAATCGAATCATTGCTAATAAAAGCCTTACCATACAAAGCCTGAGCAGCCTCGACATCATCGGTCCCGAGACGGAAATCTTTCTGGTATCCTTTATAAAACGGGGCCATGAGAGCCGAATACACATCAGAGTGTGCAAGGCCCAAGGAATGGCCAATTTCATGGACGGCAACTTGGAAAAAATTCACTCCTGCAATGAGATAAAGAGCCTCGCTGTGTATTTAGTCTTGTTCCCGTGCAGTGTATTTGTTGTCTTGTTGTATATTCGTTCCTATCTTGTATATTCGTTCCTATCTTGTATATTCGCTCCTATCTTGTATATTCGTTCCTATCTTGTATATTTGTTCCCTTGTTGTGTATTTATTCTCTTGCTGTATATTTGTTCTCTTGCTGTGTTTCGGTCTGTATTTTAGACAATTTTTTGTCGTCAGACATTATGTCATATCGTGTAAACAAGGCATATGTCACAGTAAAAACAGGTTTGCTCATGAACTATGCTATATTTAGAACATCTATGCATGTTTTTATTGTATAGTCATTAATTCTATATAATTATATATCGATCATGAGTATGCACCATGCAAAGTTCTCTTATGTGATAGTAAAAGATTCCATGTATTATATAATAATTAAAACGATGTATCTACATACCGTCAGAAACATTGATAGTCCAAGGTTCATCTTCATCAAAATGAGCGTCCCCGCCATATTGAGGGAAAAACGCATGTGCTAGCGTTTGTCCTTTCCCGTCGAATGGGTTATTGTCTCCGTGCCATGACCGGGCAAATTTTATGTCAATATCGACAGTTCCCGACTTTTTCCAAGTAAATGTTAAAGGAGTCACGCCTTCCCATGCCTGTAACAATAATTCAAATAGTGCTCAAATATTACGGATATCTCGTCTTGTAGACTTTTCATTCTGATTTTAAATTTATATTCAGTGATGAACTTTTTTTCTTAAACCACAATATTCGATGCTCCGAACACTTATGTCTTGTTTAGCTGGTGGGCGTTGCCAATAAGCTTAAGCTATCGTGCCAGCAGAATAAAGTGTTTGTGTGCTAGATAACTGAACAAGAGATCCTAAAAGGATCTTGGCTTCCACTATAAAGAGATCTTTTTCAGGTCTACAAACACGATTTTTAAACTTCTATAGTCTTCATTTTCCTTACATGTATCATTACCCAGTTCTACGTTGGAAATCATAAATGGGAATCTTATACATTACCTTAAACCTTGTAATGTCATATGTTATTAGCCACTATGGCAAATGATATTGTATACGAATTGCATAACAATATACAAAATGCTAGAGATGTCAATACGGGATCAATTTTCCTTCTGGTCAGGGGTATTTGAAAAAAAAGGATTAATGGGATCATATATGCTAAATTTAAGAAAGATCCCTCGAGTATTTTCTGAGAAAATGTCGATAACAAAACTTCACTGTCAAAAATCCAAGATGGCAATCTGTCGACCGTTTTATTTTTCCAACCATTCTCAAAAGTGTATAAGGACAACCGCAGACCGAGGGGAACATACACATTAAATTTAAAAAAGATCCTTCCAGTATCTTACAATATTTTTTTTCCTGAGAAATAACATTAACAAACCTTAAATGTCAAAATCCAAGATGGCTGCCTGTCGGCCATTTTGTTTCTCTGATCAGTCTCAAAAGTAAGCATGCACAACTTGAGACCAAGTAATATTAGCCAAACAGCTATGTGATCATTGACCTCTTCTTACTGTTATACTGTTATATTACCTTTTTCTGTTTTTGTCTGCAATAGTACATGGAACTTTTACATTTCTTTTTTTTATGCAGAGGGACAGTGCACGTGTTGGTAGTGATAGCGCCTATGATAGATTGAATAGCAAAGTGTGTGTTTTTTTTTTATATAAATGCCGCTTATATATCAAAATGTTCATAAACACAATCGTCTCGAAATTTTACAACATCTCTTTAAAACAAAAAAAACTACAATTCATGGCCAATGAACGACAATATAGAATATGATAAAAAGCTATGAACGACAATACAGAATATGATAAAAAAAACCATGAACGACAAGACAGAATATGATTAAAAGCCATGAACGACAATACAGAATATGATAAAAAGCCATTGTTTGCTGATTATAGAGAATGAACATCAGTCAATAGAATAGTTCAGCACACTCCATACTGCCATCTACGAGGACAAATCTATCTCCGTGATGATTGCCTAGAGAAACACCGTGTCTCACAGGATTTATTAATGGAACTTTCTAAGTTACTACATTTATTTGTAGACATCTGTGACTCACATCAAATGCTCTCCTGATCTCCGAGTCTACGTCCGTTTTAGAGATCTTCTTGCTGTATTCTGATATCGTATACGTTATATCATATTTAGACCACTTGCTACCTAAAAATAGACAAAGACAATAAATATCCTGACAAACGTTGAATTCACTGCATTAATCATATTACAAAATGGACATTAATCCGTCTTCTCACTCTCAAGACAGAAGTTGAGGGACTAACTGTTGTCTACGAGGGTCAACCACACCTGTGTAGTATTGTAAAACGTTAACTAAGAAACTATTAAAACTTATGTAAAACACTTGATAGGTTCGTTATATTCCAAATTTGAATAACCTGATGCGGTCTTGCATTAATGTTTATGTTCGCATTGACCTTTGTTCTAACTTAAGGATTTAAGTTTGTCAAAAATATTTACCATGCAAGGCGTATCGCTTCTTTCTTGCTTGGTCTGAATAGCCCATGTCGTCTGAGTTTCCACATCGAGGTAACTTCATCATTCGTATGGTTTCTGAATCTACCACACCTGCATTGACACAAAATGAATATAAAGTGTCAATTAATAAGCATATCTCCGATAATACTTCATTCTATGTTAACGTAAGACTGTTGTAATTGGGACACAACTTAGATGATCATTAAAATATACACCTCCTAACGTATATGAATAATTAAGTGTCATAATATTAATAGTTTATAGCCTGGTACTTGTTATCTTAAGTAAGCCGACAATATGTAAAGCGTGTAACCTTATATGAGCGTTAAAGCTGCATTATAACAAGATGCCGTCGAGTCATTTTATCAATAGCGCTGCGGCATGCGCACTCAACATCAGTCTTGTTATAAATAGGAGGCAAAACATTTTTGTCTTTATTGAATGGTAATAATTGCATTCTCTCCCTGAATGGTTTTATAACTTAAGATTACTAAGAATACAATGCATATGTGTTAAACTTGATTTAGATGTTTTTACACGTACTACATAAGAAACGCCCGTAGTAGTGCATTCGAAATATTCCTTGTGTTTGTACGTGTTTCGTCATACAATTACACCTTCACTTTTGAAGTCAATCTGCGGCTTTCCTCAATCTTAAATTTCAACATGATAAACAGGTACGTTTATCTACTAAAGTGTACAATAACAGGGATGGTTATCTACTAAAGTGTACAATGACAGGGACGGTTATCTACTAAGTGTACAATAACAGGGACGGTTATCTACTAAGTGTACAATAACAGGGACAGTTATCTACTAAAGTGTACAATGACAGGGACGGTTATCTACTAAAGTGTACAATGACAGGGACGGTTATCTACAAAGTGTACAATAACAGGGACGGTTATCTACTAAGTGTACAATAACAGGGACAGTTATCTACTAAAGTGTACAATAACAGGGACGGTTATCTACTAAAGTGTACAATGACAGGGACGGTTATCTACTAAAGTGTACAATAACAGGGACGGTTATCTACTAAAGTGTACAATAACAGGGACGGTTATCTACTAAAGTGTGCAATAACAGGGACGGTTATCTACTAAACTGAACAATAGCAGGGACGGTTATCTACTAAAGTGCACAATGACATGGACGGTTATCTACTTAGTGTACAATAACAGGGACGGTTATCTACTGAACTGAACAATAGCAGGGACGGTTATTTACTAAAGTGCACAATGACATGGACGGTTATCTACTAAGTGTACAATAACAGGGACGGTTATCTACTGAAGTGTACAATAACAGGGACGGTTATCTACTAAAGTGTACAATAACAGGGACGGCTATCTACTGAAGTGTTCAATAACAGGAACGGTTATCTACTAAAGTGTACAATGACAGGGACGGTTATCTACTAAAGTGTACAATAACAGGGACGGTTATCTACTAAAGTGTGCAATAACAGGGACGGTTATCTACTAAACTGAACAATAGCAGGGACGGTTATCTACTAAAGTGCACAATGACATGGACGGTTATCTACTTAGTGTACAATAACAGGGACGGTTATCTACTGAACTGAACAATAGCAGGGACGGTTATTTACTAAAGTGCACAATGACATGGACGGTTATCTACTAAGTGTACAATAACAGGGACGGTTATCTACTAAACTGAACAATAGCAGGGACGGTTATCTACTAAAGTGCACAATGACATGGACGGTTATCTACTAAAGTGCAATAATCAGAATATTTCGATTTTTCGGTCGCGAGTTTTCACTTTTTTGATAACAACACCACGGTGTTTTCATGTCGCAATTGATTCAAGAGCTCTCTCCTAATATTTTTATTTCTGTGATAGATGTCGATTGCTGACAAAAAATAAAACATTGGGTTTCTACAGATACAAGTTGGTGAAGACTACCAACCACTTTTATGACCACCATCACGAGTTATTAAAGGGACTATATTTGTTTGTGTGGTATGAGGGTCTTAAGATGATCCTCATTAACGTACCTAGTTTTGTTGTCACAAACAACCCCTGTTCTCATTAGTGTACCTAGTTTTGTTGTCACCAACAATCCCTGTTCTCATAAGTGTACCTAGTTTTGTTGTTACCTACAATCCCTGTTCTCATTAGTGTACCTCGTTGTGTTGTCACTAACAATCCCTGTTCTCATTAGTGTACCTAGTTTTGTTGTCACCAACAATCCCTGTTCTGATTAGTGTATCTAGTTGTGTTGTCACTAACAATCCCTGTCCTCATTAGTGAACCTAGTTTTGTTGTCACTAACAATCCCTGTCCTCATTAGTGTACCTTGTTTTGTTGTCACTAACAATCCCTGTTCTCATCAGTGTACCTTGTTTAGTTGTCACCAACAATCCCTGTTCTCATTAATGTACCTAGTTTTGTTGTCACTTACAATCCCTGTTCTCATTAGTGTACCTAGTTTTGTTGTCACTTACAATCTCTGTTCTCATTAGTGTACGTAGTTTTGTTGTCCCCAACAATCCCTGTTCTCATTAATGTACCTAGTTTTGTTGTCACTAACAATCCCTGTTCTCATTAATGTACCTAGTTTTGTTGTCACTAACAATCCCTGTTCTCACTAATGTACCTAGTTTTGTTGTCACTAACTGTTTTCACTATGACGACGTGGAATTACTTGGATTCGACCTAGATTTACATGGAAGGCTAGGAATTAGACGTCGCTTAACCTTCCGGAACATATGGTCTTATTCTCCTAGTGCCTGTTCAAGGATTTTCATTTAAATCTGTCCTTTGTTCACATTGTGCCCAAGTTTTATCAATTGTTAAATCAATTAATGTTTTGTTGACACTTTGGTATTCTCTATAATTGACATTTCTCTTTTACCATCCGAAACGACGCCAGAAAATGGTATCCTTCACTATCAAATCCCAAGGCTCTAAACATTCTCGTTTCAAAATCAAGCATGAATATAATATATATTATCATCATATAACCACGATTCGAAACTGCATCATTCACTGTAAAATAGCAATTTGATGCATAATGCTACAGATTCCAAACAAATAACAAAATAATTTGATACACAGTTTGAGGAAAGTACAAGTGATGATTACTACCTGTCATAAAAGACATGATACAATAACACCACAGGGGGGTCCGTTTGTAGCACGTGCCACGAAAACGTATCAGCTGTAATCAGCTGTAATCTGTTGTAATTGGCTCTGTAAGCGACCCATACATTGATCCACTGACTGGCAGCCACTCGCTCAGATACCGTATGTTGGTCTTATGTTGATAAGCTTAACTCATCTTAACGAAACAATGGGAGATTTTTCCTGGTTTCTTTTTTTGTTATTCCATAGTTGAACGTGTAGATGTGTCGATTCCAAATATCTAGTTTCTAAAGGAACATGTGTACACTTGGTTCTTTTGTTTTGTGCTACTTTTACCAAAGTTCTGTTTTAATAAAAATACAATGTTCTGCAGAAATAATTTTGAAGTCAAAACCTTTTGCCTAGAAAGAGATGGTTATATATTGGTAGCTTTTTTGTACAGAGTGTTACCATACTTTTTTTTCAGATTTAAAGGCAAATAAACCATGGGTTAGATTAATAAAACAAGTCGGGGTGGTCGAGTGGCGCAGTGGATAGCGCACTCATCCACTCATCTCTCACAAAGGCGACCAGTGAAATAAATAAATAAAGTTGATACATTATATGAAAAAGTCTGAAAAGACAGAAATGTTTCCATTTTATAAACAGTCTTTAATGTGGTTTTCCGAGGGGACAATATCACATGTTTCGTGAACAAACGAAACTTTCCGAGGTCTGTGTCGTATCCATATGGTATTTATTCCCTTTTGTGCTGATCAATCCTAAAATAACAATCCTCTGTCTGTTGTTTTTGTATCACTTTGTTCTCTTTGGTTATGTTCATTAACATCAAATACGTTATCCAAGGGCGCAATATAACAATATAGATGATATGTAATTACCCGCTCTGTGATATAATCAAGCCTTTACGTTCAGTTATAAAGTGTGTGAAAGTTCGTGTTTAATCGACAGTAACACATTACTTAAAGAAATGAAATCCGTTACAGCCTTAGCTTAATTACCGAGAATCGTATCAGTAATGAAACGGGGGTTTACAATATCTGTTACGTCTGAAAACGGGGGTAACAATATCTGATACGTCTTATAAACGGGGGCTACAATATCTGATAGGTCTCAAACGGGGGCTACAATATCTGATACGTCTCAAAAAAAACGGGGGTAACAATATCTGATAGGTCTCAAACGGGGTCTACAATATCTGATACGTCTCAAAAACGAGGGTAACAATATCTGATAGGTCTCAAACGGGGGCTACAATATCTGATACGTCTCAAAATGTACCTGTGAAGTCACTGAGACCTAAGATTTGTCAAAACGTCATAAACATATCCGATTATTCGATAGTCATCCGTCATAAGCTTCAAACAATCATGTGTCTTAAGTTTGAAACATAATTCGTCATCTTTATCATCAAAGGGTTTTCAGTAAGTTACTGGAAGTCACACGGTACAGATAGGTTCAAATACGGGACAAAATTAACCGGATGCTTTGCACAAGGGTTTGAAACACTAATATGCATGTAAGTGGTATTGATGTACACATACCAATCAGCTACGAACCACATCTATCAAACCATGCTGATTTTAAAGTGATACTGATGAGTAAAGGTAATAACGGCATGTCTAAACTGTGAGGTCTACTTGTATATGATATAACTGATATCAGGATGCGTACTGTAGAGGTTTGTCTAACAGTATCTATCATTTTGGTATTGAAGCAGAGAAAAGTGAAAAAGTTTAAGGGCCTCAGTATTAACAAAAGACCCCGATGGCCGATATCGCCAACCTGGATTATAAAGCAACCATGGACAATTATTCGTATTACATACAATCCCTCCAATGATACAGGAGAAGGATTTACAAAATTTAAACCTCAAATTCCCCTATTGGGCCCAGCAACTCTGCAACCAGAGGGCCACACCCTCCGTGTATATACAATTAAGTCCCCTTTGCCCAAGGATGCTCCAGGCCAAATTT